TTTTTTTAATAGAAGAAAATAAAATAAAAATAGCAAAATTCTACGATAAGAAAAGTGATACACTTATTGTGTATACATCACTTACACTACATGTATTATACACTTATATATATTTTTTGAACATCGTTAGATTTAAATTTTATTGAATTTTAAATGATGTTAAATTTCAAGTAAAGTCCCTCTTGAACTTCAAATGTTCCCACAGATGTGCATGAGAAAATTGTCGAGAATTCGAACTGTCTGTCTTCCTTATTTTTTCCAGTGAGCTTCCTCTTATATTCTACTATAATAATTTCATTTTTAAAGTCAACAGATAATTCTTGAACCAATGCTGATACTCTGTATTATGATGTGATCCTCGCATCATAATCCAATTAATTGTGAGCTTCTTTCCTTCTTGAGAACGATAGCTCGATCAGCACATGTTTTCATTTTATTCCGATATGGCACTGTACATAGTAGCGAGTAAAGACAAGTAAATTAGCAGAGACTCATTGAAAATATCGACGATCTCTCGTTCGTTATCTCTCGTTTAGAATCTCGTTAGCAGGCAAACGTAACAAAGGAGAGATTAACGAATTAATCTTTTCACAGTTCAGCTAGAGGAAATGTCTTTACACAGCCGTGGAAACACATATGGTCACAGAGGTGTGTGGTTCTCCATTTTTTTTTTTTTTTTTTTTGTTTCCCCTGGACAGGGAGAGAGAGCACGGATAATCCTTTTCGCGAGCGCGCTGCGAGCTCTATTTAATATTTAAAGCATGCTGGAAATGACGAACGAATGGATAGTTGCGGTCTACGTCACTGTTTCATTCTCTCTCTCTCTCCATCCTTTTGCTTTCAATCCACCCTTTAGTCTACCGGTTTTTCAAGCTGAACATCAGTGTCGTTTGTACGATTTTCAGCGTCGAATATTCTTGAAGTATTGTTCTCCAACAAGTACCAGAGACTACGAGAGGCTCGAAGATCATTTCGATCATTGACTGGATGTCCGAGGTAAAAATTCAGATTTAATGACGAGTGGATTTGCGGATTTTTCGTGCATTTGCGAGAATTGCAAAAATGACAGTTACGGAATACAAATAGCTGAATATTTACCACGATACACAGCAGATAAAACAAATTTCTATTTCTCTAGCTATGTTTGCGAGAATTTAAAACTTCTTTAAATTTTTACTTCAACACACCTGCTTGATGTTTCAAGCAAAGATTCGAGACCTTAACCATAAA